TACTGCCCCTCTTTCTCTTCTTTGTGAACACTGCGCTGTGCACAAAAAGCCCCTCTAATAGCCCACCGTAGCCACTGACCCTGTGAAAGCTTCTAGGACCTGGCCTTTGAATCCCCAAAGATTTGTGCTTCTCAGGGTACTCAACATCTGGATTGAGTTTATTCTCTCAACAAATATTGAGCATCTACTATATGCAAGGCACTGAGAAACTGCAGCGAATGAGCCATGAGAAGACCCGTTGTCCTGGAGTATATCTTCTAGCTGGAGGAGACAAACAGGATATAGTGTGTGTGTGTAGTGTTGAGTGCTGAGGAAAATTTAAAAAAATAATAAAATAAAGCCGGGAGGGGCTGCGGTTTCACAGGGAGGTGAGAGATGGACAGGTAAGCTGACACCTCAAGGAGAAAAGAGATGTCTGGGCAGAGAGCACTACCATATGTTCACTTGGGGGCCCCTTCCAGCTCACCCCAACTGGTTACTGGGGGGAGTATGGGGAGCATGTGCTTTGTAAATGCAACCGTCAACCCACCGGGAAACCTGTAGCCCTGCAAACCTAATGCTGTGTCACCTAGATAATAGCTGTTAAAAGTCAGCTGTTCGATTGTAACTAGCAGGCCATTTTTGCAGGTGACTTTAAAATAAAACAACTTCCATATTCAAAAATCCACAACGGCAACCAGCTCTTAGAAATGACTAAAATGACCTACTAGTATTTCCTCTTTATTTTTTTTTTCACTTGGAGACTTTTGATCCCCTGCTGAGACCATGTATTATATCTAGTTTCACATCAAAATGAATTTTAGCTGCTAAGTTTGAAAACTGCCTGAAAATAGCAATTAATATTGGAAAAGCTGACAGAAGCTTAAGTGTTGTGGCATGATTGGTGCTGCTATAATTATGTACCAGAGTGTGTACATGTCTATGTAAACACAGTATGAAAACACACTTACTGTCCAGGAAAGTCTATCAGTCTGTTTTCTCACAGGTAAATGAAGGAAAGAGAAGAGGGAGAAAGAATTGATGGAATTTTTATAGCACTATTAGCTGGTGCAGCTGTTTTCTTTTTCTTTTTCTTTTTCTTTTTTTTAGGATTTATTTATTTATGCATATATCAAATGGGGTACAGGCCAGAGGTCCAGGGACAGTGAGAGACAGAATGGGGAGCAGGACAGGTAGATCAACAGAGTACACTGTTGGGGGGGAGCAGCGGGTGAGACAGGAGAGGTCTGCTGTGCCATGTGGGTCACCTCCCAGGCTGGGGATTGAACTGTCACTAAAGTGGCTGAGGCTGGCTCCATAGTGCTGTGCTTTAACCTGTTGCGCCACCAGGGAGGGCCCTGTTGTAGCTGTTTCTAATCTCATATCTCAATGACCTTGTTTTTCATATCCATCATCTCATTTGGTCCTCACAACTTGCTAGAGTTGGAAAGGACAGGCATAGCAGGCTTTGTTCTTCCCATTTGAAAGATAAGAAAACTGATTGAGGCCTCCCTGGTGGCACAGGGGTTAAGTCTCAGTGCTAGCAAGCTATCACCAGACACTGCGCAATGAGTTTGATCCCACCCCCCCTCCCCACCCACTTGGCAAAGCAGACTTCTCCTGTCTCACCTGGTGAATTCTCTAACCCCCAGCACCTCTGGCCTATGGCCAGTTCTTGCCTGCATAACTAAATAAAAATAAAAATAAATCTTTAAAAAAAAAAGGAAAAGAAAACTCAGTGTGTCAGCTGTATGACTTGAGTTCCTTATCTGCAAAATGGAAAGTAGGATCACATCACTTCTAAGGTTTCTTTTTTTTTTTAAGTTATTTATTTATGCATACAAGAGCTAGGGTTTAGGCCAGAGATGCCGGGTTTGGGGTTGGTGGGGGGAGTGGGTAAGAGGATTCACCAGAGACAGAGTAGGGACAGAACAGGCAGACTGATGAAGTACACTGCTGAGGGGAGCAGCAGGTGAGATAGGAGAGGTCTGCTGTGCCACATGGGTCAGCTCTCTGGCCAGTGATGGATCTCATGCTGCAGTGGCTTTAGCTAGCTTCTCAGTGCTTCGCTTTAACCCACTGCACCACCAGGGAAGGTTGCTTTTGACTCAGCAGTTCTACCATTTTCTTATTTTGATTTTTCCTGAGGTGACACAAGAATTTAATGGCAGAGACTCCCCTGCAGTCCAGACACCTTTCCTACCCCTGTTCCTCCCTCACCGTAGTCTTCACACCTATCTCTCCGTGTTTAATTGCTTATGGAACATAATGTCTACTGTACAAGGTTGCTGAGAAAACTGTGAACGGATTGAAAGGAAACATCTTATTATTATTACTGATATTACTGTCACCACTATGACTAAAAAGAGACCATGTAGAATCATGGAAAGTGCCTGGACACTGAAGTCAGGTAGATGGGTTTCCAGTCATTTTCCACTTATGTCTTGACCTGTGAGCCCATCTTTCCAAGCATCATGTAAAGCAGAGGTGACCTGACCTACATTGCAGGGTGGTTTGGAGACCAGAGGAGACAATGTGTATAAAGCACCTGCCGGACAGGCCCTAAATAGTTGGCAGATGTGAACCATAAATCACCTTTCAGAAGAAAGTGGGATATATTTTCCTGATTCCTTCAAAATCTGAAGTGGCATCTTAGAGAGGTGAGGTGTAACCTTAAAATCAACAGAAGCATAAAGTCATCTTTTAAGTAAAAAGAAAAGGACATTCTGAAGTTTAACCATTCTGTGCCCATCTCAGGAGAGAAAACGCCCATGCGCAGTGGCCATCAGCAGACTGTCATTGTGTTGCGTGTCTGGTGTTCTTCTGAAATCTGTTATCTGTTTCTCCAAGTCCTCCCGTTCTCGCTGCAGTGGTCTCATTGAGACAGCTTATTTGAAAAGCCTGCTTACCCTCAGTCTACCACTTCCCTTGAAAAGCACTCATTTGAGTGCTGGGGTCTGCTGCTTTGCTCTAGTGCTGACCTTTGGCAAGGAGTCATGAAAGTGGAAGCCAAGTTCCTGCACCCTTGTCTCTGACAGCCTGGTCACAGGACAGGCGGTGAGTGGTACGTCTCAAAGGTGAAAATTCCCCCACGGGATTGCTTGTCTCTATAAAGGACTTCTTCGTACTAAGTTTTCAAGGCTCGATAAGCTAACATGCACAGATGTCTGTTGCCACTTTCTCTAGAGCTGTGCTGTATCGCGATGTGTGGGCAGCTGCCCGGCAGGTGCAAGGACCTGGCACAGCCCTGTACAAGTTTCTCTGAAATCTAGTTGACCTCAAACCACTGGACCCAAGACGAATTTTACAGAATACCAGCATTGAATCACATTTTGTTTATTACATGCAGTGTTTGAAAAGGATAAAATGTAGCCACTGGCTATTTGAAGAAAATGAATTGTTTTGCTATGGACCCTGTATCTATCCTTAAAATTCTTCTCACTGTGAATGCCTGTCCTGTGTGAACACCTCAAGACCAATCGGGTTTTCTGCCTCAGAGTGCCCCATTAAATGTGTTGACAATTCGGTTCAATTTGGTTGTCTTCCAGCTTTAAAATGTGTGAATTTCCCTTTTTAATGTTCCAGGGGGAAGCGATGGTATGTGCCCCACGCCGAGGGAATACTTTAAACCAGTTTTGCAATCTAGCTGAAAAAGCCGGTTTCTCTATCCAAAGACATGAAAATTATGATGAACACATTTCAAACTTCCACTCCAAGGTTAGTTTTCTGCTTGTGTTAGATAACACTTTAATCCGCATTGCATTTTGAAGAGATCATGGTCTTTTTGGCAGGTAACCTAAATATTTGATTAAAGTACTCCTTAGGTGTGCTGCTTCTGAACAGCTATTTGTATCTGATTATTTTGTGTGGTAAAGCCATCTTTTATCTTTGCGTGTCTAGAAGGATTTTACAGAAACCATTCCTGTTGACTTCTTTTTCTGAAACAAACTAATCTTTCATTCATAATAGACTAATTTGTAGGGTGCAGGGGAAGTGGCATGGAATGAATGATAAACAAGCATTTATATTTTAATGAAAAACCTTTGGCTTTTAAGTAGGTTAAATGCTTAGCTGCACTGAAATAAATAGAAGGTGAATGTCTAATTGTATCATGTTGGACTGTAAATCTTTATCTCTGCTTGCTTTATGGCTGGGTCATTTGGCAGTTTGAGGCTGTTAAATCTCAGACAGAATTTCACAGTTGTGGGGTTATATGTCAGATCGAGGCACTACAAGATTTAGGTCAAAAGCACTTATCAGGGAGTGATTTCTAAGCTTGCTTACATAAAGCAGTGTTATCAGCCTTTTTATTATTTATAGGTACAGTGCAATATAGCACACTAAGGCAAGTATCTCACCAAAAACTTTTTAGGAATCTCACATGTGCTAATACATGTCACAGTTATTAGTATGACATGTATTATTTCTGCAACTTTGTGCCTTACAAGAAGTCTTTGCTGAGCTAGTTTGACCTTGGCAAGACACTTTGACATGTCATGATTTCTCGAGTTGTGACTGCAGAAAAATAAAGGTCTAGCCTTAATTTCCTCCAGGGAAGATGTGAATAGCATTATTCATTACTCTGGACTATGATATAATGTCAAAGTGTGTTGACTTGAAAAATTATATGCAAAGTGGATCTGAACTTCCAAGTAAGGGAGAAAAAAAGCCTCATTTTCTGGAAATGGGTTCACTGTTTGGATCTCTAGGGCTCCCTTGATGGGGGCTAGGGGTAGAGGAAGGGAGGGGAGCATTGGAGTGGGGAATGGTGCCTGGTGAATGAATGGAGAGGGCTAAATTACTTCCTCTTATGACAGAATCTCGCCTTTTGCTTACAATCAGAAAATAAAACCAGAATGACAGGTCATTCAGATCTTAACCTGCCTATGTAGAATGATGATTTTTCCCTTTTTCAGCCCCTCCCCAGAACAAAAGGAATGACTGAGAAGGCTTTACCTGGTGGGGGGTGGAAATGATGGCTCCTGGCCCCCTGGCCTCCTCGCAAAAAGGATACAAGGGCCTTCTT